GGGGGGGGGGAACTGAATTCAGACAAGGATTAAGCTTATAAGAGTCGAGAACGATGCAACAATTCGTCTACTTGCTCTAATAAATTAATGAAACGTTAAGCTTCCGCGGGAGGGGGGGGGGGAGGGACTGAATTCAGACAAGGATTAAGAGTCGAAAATGGAACAACGAATCATCTTCTTTCTCTAATAATTTAATTTAACTATGAAATGTCAAAACGCGGGAGGTGGCACGGAAGGGTGAACACTGAATTCGGTCAAGTAATAAGAGTCGAGAATGGTCCAACAAATCGTCTTCTGTCTCTAATAATTATTAATGAAAGATCAAATCTTCTGCGCTTCGCGCGGGCGGGGGGGGGGGGGGGAATGAATTCAGACAAGGATTACGAGTAATTATTACCGTGTTTACACAGTGATCCGCCTCGAGGATTGAAGCCGGGTTGAAGCCGCGAGGGGGTTGAAGCCTCTAAAGCGCGCAAATGTGATCGTGTTTACACAGAAGAAAAAAAAAGGAGGCTTCAACCCTCGAGACGTATCACTGTGTAAACACGGTATATGTGAAGAAACGTCAAAGCTTACGCGCTTCGCGCTGAAGGGGGACCTGAATGCAGACAAGGATTAAGAGGGAGGGGGAAATAAATTCAGAAAAGGATTAAGAGTCCAGAACGGTTCAACGAATCGTCTTCTTTCTTTAATAATGTAATGAATTGTCAAAGCTTCCGCGCTTTGCGCGGGAGGGGGAACTGAAAAATAATTAAACTCCTGGCCACGGGTTTATAAGGTTAAATTTGTAGACATTTTGGACTTTGGCATTAATATATTTTGTTGGTAATTGGTGGCTTCTTTTTTTCGGTAATCGGTGGCCTCTACACCCCCCCCCCCTCCACTGAAAAAGGTCTAGCGACGCCCCTGCTTGTAGGTACTGGTATGGTGCTCCTAATATGACCTTGTCAGTATTGGTATGTTGAGTTGAAGAAAAAAATTCCGGCCCCCCCTTTTGGAAAATCCTGGATCCGCGCCTGTAAAACCCCTGAGCTTCTGGGGGCTCAGCCCCTCTGGACGCCACGCCAATTAGTGACCTGCCAGTGTCATGAATAATGTATCAAAATATGCTCATTTGACAATAATATGCCCATACCCCCTGAGCTTTGGGTGGCTCCGCCCCTTGACCCCACGCCCATTTACGCTACGCTCTACCTGATTGTAAATACTTTAGCCTCACCCCACCCACTTTGAAAAACGTTCAGCGGGGCAAGGATGTAAGAAGGGGGGGGGGGGGGGGGGGGAGGTGATGCAGATTTTTTTTTGTCTGTCCCCCCCCCCCAAACAAAAAAACTTTTTTGCTCATTACGCCAATGCTAGCTAGCTGGTCACCATTACGTACCAATATTTGGCTCGCATTATTTAAAATTTAGGCCCCAATAAGAAATCCTGGATCTCCGCCTGGGGGTGGTATTTACGATCAGGAAGAGCGTAGCATAAATTGGCGTGGGGTCTAGGGGGGGGGGGGGCGGCGGGGCCGGGTCAAGGGTTGGAATCTCAGAGGGTATAGGCATTTAATTACCGTCAGATGAGCATATCTTCATACCTTATTTGCGACACTGGCAGGTCACGAATTGATGTGGGGTCCAGGGGCGGAGCCCCCAGGAGCTCCGGGGTTTAAGGCATTAAATTACCGTCAGATGGGCATCCAGGTGCCTGCCTTAGGGTCGTAGGCGGAATCCAGGGAGCAGAGCCGCCAGAAACTCAGGGGTTTTAGGCATTTTAATTACGATCAGATGAGCAAATTTTGACACCTCATTATTTGACTTCTCTCTTGTTTTTTTTTTGATGGGGGGAGGCAAGGCCCTTTCGGTACCCCGATCTCCTTCTTTTCCCCCTTTTCATTTCTTCTTCCTCTTCTTTCTTTCCCTTTCTCTCCTTTTCCCCTTTCCCTTCTTTCCTTCTCTCTCTCTCTCTCTCTCTTTTTGCGGGGGGGGGGGGGGGGCGCTCGGCCCCCTGGATCCGCGCCTGCCCACCCCCTCACCTACTCAGGGCCTGCATGTGTACTACTACCTCCAGCTAGCTAGCTAGCTCCAAACAAGCATGTACGTACTAGCCGCTGATATGATGCGCACACGTGTCAACTTAAAGGGGAAGTCCACCCTGAAATTAAGTTAGTTTTAATAGGAGTAGAAAAATGAGAGAAACAAGTCAGTGAAAGTTTGAGCAAATTCCGATTAAAAATAAGGAAGTTAGGAATTTTGAAGTTGTGATCAATCAAACACAAATTGGCAACTCTATGACGTATCATGCGAGCTCAACTTCCATTTGCTCAGTACTAAAAAAATCTAAAATTTTCATTTTCCCTCAAGAAAAATTTCAACCATACATGCACCCTAAATATAATAATTGCAAATATGTTTCTATACTCCCCCTGCAAGGAACAAATATATATTCCGTCATCAATAACGAAGAAAACATGATTTTATGGAATATTATCTACAAAGCAAATGAAGGAGAGCTCGTATAATAAGTCACAGAGTTGCCAATTTTTATTTGATTGATCACAACTTCAATAATTCATAACTTTCTTATTTTCATTCAGAATTTGCTCAAACTTTCACTCACCTGATTTTCTTATTATTCTGCCTCTATCGAAATAAACTTATTTTGGGGGTGGACTTTCCCTTTAATTATCTCGTGGCCACGAGATACTAAGTCGTGGCCACGAGATACTAAGTCGTGGCACGAGATACTAAGTCGTAAGTTGTGGCCACGAGATGCTAATTCGTAACTTCGAGATACTAAGTCGTGGCCACGAGATACTAAGTCGTAGCTTCGAGATACTAAGTCGTAGCTTCGAGATACTAAGTCGTAGCTTTGAGATACTAAGTCGTGGCCACGAGATACTAAGTCGTAGCTTCGAGATACTAAGTCGTAGCTTCGAGATACTTAGTCGTGGCCACGAGATACTAAGTCGTAGCTTCGAGATACTAAGTCGTAGCTTCGAGATACTAAGTCTTAGCTTCGAGATAAAAAATAATTTCTCACATCGTTCTATGTCCCCTTAGGGGCTCCGTAGTTTTGTATCATGCTATTATAATTATATTAATCTATTTGATATCAAATTGAGGATATTTTTTTCAATCAGCTTCAGAGAATGTTTTTATCCGATGATATATATTGACACGAGCACATTATATGACCTCCATTCCTGTATGTTTTTTAATTTTTTTAAAAACTAATTCTAATGTGCAATTCAATATGAATTGAAAAAATATTACAATTGCAAAATTAAGAGGTCTGTCTTTATTATGCGTGCATCAGTTTTGTTTTTAAGTATTCAGCTTGAGAGAGAAAGAGAGAGAAAGAGAGAGAAAGAGAGAGAGAGAGAGAGAGAGAGAGAGAGAGAGAGATTGATCTTTGAGAACAACTGTTTGAAACATGAACAAAATACAGTCAAAGGCTGGTGTTAACAATGTTGCTTTTCTTCAGTATTAGTTTTAGTCATATAGTAGTAGAAGTAGTAGTACACATCGTCGTTGTCGTAGTATAGTAGTAGTAAAAGTAGTAGTACTTTCGATTTAGTAGTAGATAATAGTAATAATAGTAGTACTAAAAGTGGTAGAAGAAGTAGTAGCCATCGTCGTCGTCATTATTGTCGTAGCATAAAAAGTAGGAGTATACTATAAGACAGTAGTAGTAATAGTATACTGGTAGAGATATTATAGGCTATAGTAGATAAAAGTAGAATTTAAAATAATAGTATTAATAATGATATAGCGATAGCAGGAGTAGTACTAGAAGCACCTATAGTAGTAATAATAATTTAATTAGCAGAAGAAGTAGTACTAATAGTAGTAGTAGCAGCATCATCAGCAGTACTAGTCGTCGTAGAAGTAGAAGAAGCAAGTAATTTGTCGTCGCAGTAGTAGTAGTAAAAGTTACATTAGTTGCAGTGACAGCAGTAATTGTAGTAATATATAAGTAGTAGTAGTGGTAGTAGTGGTGGTAGTAGTAGAAGTAGAAGTGTCGTGGTCGAATGGATATATCACCAGACTGTGGATCACAAGGTCCGCGGTTCAAGTCCCGCCGCGGCACTAATGTCCTTCAGCAAGACATTAAGAAGTAACATCAGTAATAGCGTCAGTTATATTTAGTAGTAGCTGCATAAGCCTTGTTTGTGAAGTAGGCCTTAGGAATATAGTAAAAGTCAACACACAAATTATCTATGTAGATAAACATGTTAAACCTTCCTGTAAAACAACGTATCCTACTATCAAACCCTGCAAAAGTATCCTAACTTAATTTTGTTTTGTAATTTTCTTCGTACTTTCTAGTTTTTCTTTCACATGTTCTGTTCATCTTGTAATATAATGTTTAAAATTCTAAACACGACTCACTCATTTGTCATTATCATATTAGCAAGATAATAACAGTAAAATAAAAGTTTAATTTATTTTGTTTATTAAATTCTAAACACATGACCATAGCCAAAAGGCCGAAAAAGATAAAAACTCGAAGGGTCGATACAATCCACGTTCTTTCGTATACACAAATAACGAAATAGACTTTGTAACTATAGTTATGTGCTTCCTGACAAAGCATATCGTGCTTCTATCTTTGTCTTCTAATTAAACAGATTATTGGAAGTAGACTGAGATCGACTATCAAATCAGTTTCAAAAATGAATGTTTCATATAAATCTACGATAATTCAAATTCCGATTTACAAACTACAATATAATCATGACATACGATGTGACAAAAAAGGAGATATAATGAGTATAAATCATCAATATATAGCGATAGTCTAACTTTGCATTCTTAAAATGGAAAACAATACAATAATTATATAAGTCAGTCAATATAGCTCTATAAACTTCCATACGCTTTGAAACAGAGTCCATCCGTAGAAGATGGGGCCTACTTGTAAAGGAAGGAAAGAAAAGTATTTTTTTAAAGCATTAGTCCAGATTTCTTCAAGACCGGATTATTTGAAACCCGTTGAACCGTAAGGTTTCAATCAGCGGTTCTGCGACGTCGCTGGATTCGACCCGGTTCTGACTGTTGCTGTGTACTACCACGACCTCTGGTTCTTCGCGGCAGCTCGTATCTTCCACCCGTACCGAAGGCCGTTTGGGGTGGGAAGGGTGGCCCGACGAGTCGGGAGTGAGCCACGGCTGTACCTCGCTTGGTCGATGGTAAACATGCGATCCCTTTGATAGAAAAATAAGAAAAAAGAGCAATGGGTAGATAAAGAAAATATATTTTGAGAAGAAAAAGAAAAGAAAAAAGAAGAGATGGGAGTATATCGAGCAACAATAACGGGGATGGTAGAAGGAGAGGATGAAGGATCGTGGATTGTAGAAATTAAAAACCACGGACACACAACGAATAATATTATATGATTGATAACACAGCAACAACTAAAGCAACAACACAAAGTGAAAGCAAGACAAAAACAAGGCAAGTTATTTTGTGCTTGGGCGTAATTATCAATGCCCTTAATATGGAAACACTTATATATATATATATGTTTGTGCATTATAAACATATATCAAGACATATATATAATTAATTATTAATATGCATGGCGAATGCATTTACAAAAAAATGAAATCTACATCTGGCCTTAATAGTTGTACAGTGGCGTTCGAGTAGCATTGTTCTGTTCGTATGCATAAGAACACAATAAGTAATGACAAAATAATATTTGAAGAAAGAAGAAACAAATCATGAAGCGCTCTATGGACTCACCAACCAACAATTAAAAGTTTGTGCAGTTCAGCAGACACCATGCACGAAAATGCAAAACACACATGTGAATAGTGCAGATGGATGCAGCGAAAAATGGTGGTGGTGATGGTAGTGTTGGGTGAAAGTGAAAGATGAAGTGGATAATGACGTTTTTATAGCGCATAACACATAACAATTATAGGCAATTTGCAAGTCTCTATGCGCTTTACAGAACGGAATACAGAAGGAGTGGAAATGGTGCACTGGGCTCATAATTGTGAGATCTTATAAAGTGCTAAATATATATGTTTTCAAATTATTTACGAACTTTTCATATCTTTCTATATCTCTAAGGTTCAATTCAATGAAATACGATGGAGCAAGCTGATGGAAACATTGATAAGTTAATAAAAGTACTTTAAACTTGATACGGGACTGGATTGGTAGCCATGTCATTTTTTTAAAGAATTTGGATATTGATTCATATTTTTGTGTTCGTTTTACGAGTTGCGTTGCGATTGAAATACAATATTTCTAAGTCATTTCATGTTTCTGTGAGAGCCAGAAGGACATGGACACCCTTCTCGCTCTCAGCAAACGACATCATCATGCTAAATACTAAGATGAATACCATTGCTCATGCAAACTATACAATCATTTAGACATCTTAATTATGTTGTGTGGTATGTTCTAAAGTTCATGGAATGCTACTCTGACGAACGATGCAATTAAGATCAACGGTTGTTAACTACCACCAAAGTGCGTCATGCCTGATTATGTGATATTAAGGTGAGGTTAATTTTTTGGGGTTGTTTCCAAACTTTATAGTCTAACAGAAACATGCAAAACAAAACAGCAGATCAAGAATAAAAATAATTTCTTTTCCTCCTTTCATTCTCTGGTGGAAATCGTGCATTTGAAATATAGTTTTTTTCTTCATACCTTTGTTGAGTTCAGCCGACCATTGACCGAGCCCGCTCGTGGTTTTCCGTTGTGGGATATTACCGAGAGTTTGGTAGCAGATATTTTCGTACCGGTGATCGAATCATCGTAAGATCCAGACTGGTACGTTTTGCCTTGCTTCCAACGGCCACACAGACGTCGGATTGGTCGTAGGAACTAGATGTTGCAAAGCAATGCAAACAAAAGGCAAAACGATTAATTAGTGACAAAGGCGTATTCAACGTTGTCGTTAGGAATAGGATGGGGGTGCAATTATGTTGAGACTTTTTTTTAGAAACAATGTTCTACATCGATTCGAAGAGTACCTGATATGCAATGTAAGCAATGGAATATAACATACATATAAATCTCTCCGATTTGCTGTTCTTGCATAAATGTTTATATAAATACCGATTGGATGAATTGTAAAATGAAATTAAATATATAACTTTGTAAAGTGGAAAATAAATTGTTAGGAATAGAAAGGATAAAAAGGCTAGTAGTTTTATTGTTAAAATTTTAAAAAATCATTTAGAAGTGAAAATTACATAATAGCCGTGCTTGAAATGAGTAATTATCCTATAGACTAGTATTGAAATGAAGATTATTATTTTTGGTCGTTGAAAGAATGGTATACCCTTTGTCTGAAGAACTGCGTAGTGATTGTGTATAAAATTGGGTTGAGAGCGGAGTTGACTGGTAACACGAAGATGGCAAACCACGCATGCACTGACTGCGGTATGGCGATACCTACAAATATGGAAAAATTAGTAAATATTGAGTGTACAGCTGTTGAGGTCATCACCAAAATGATTCTCATCATTATCACTAACAGTTTTATGACCATTATTAATATTTTCAATAATTATGATCATCGTTATATATATTACACCTTCAAGATTCCTCCTCCTCGTCACCTTTGTTATGGATCGTCATTGTTATCACTGCTATCATCATCCAAATCGCTTTTTTAATACTAAATCCATCATTATCACTCTCACTATAATGTCATAGCCTTAAAATTCACTGAAACGTTATCATTCATTGCTTCCATCATCATCATCATAATCATCATCATCATCATCATCATCGTCACCATCATCATCATCATCAGCGTCGTCATTGTCATCCTCATCATCGACATTATCATCGTCATCATCATCATAATCATCATCATTATCGTCACCATCATCATCATCATCAGCGTCGTCATTGTCATCCTCATCATCGACATTATCAACGTCATCATCATCATCATCATCATCGTCACCATCATCATCATCATCATCATCAGCGTCGTCATTGTCATCCTCATCATCGACATTATCATCGTCATCATAATCATCATCATCATCGTCACCATCATCATCATCATCAGCGTCGTCATTGTCATCCTCATCATCGACATAATCATCGTCATCATCATCATTGCCAAGATCTTCTCCACCATCCTCATTACTATCATCATGATAACCATCTCCGTCATCAACATCACCATATACAGCACCCTTATTACCACCACCACCACCACGACCACCACCACTATCACCACGACCACCATCACCCTTATCACCTACACCATCATCACCTCCTCGTCTTACCTGAATAAGATGCTATCTTGACCAGTATGATAGGCATCCAGCAGATGAAGTCAGTAGCGACGATGATCGAGAAACGTTTCAACAAATTCCAGTCTTGCGACTCTTTCGTTGATCTACAAGCAGAACAAATAAATCAACAGACTAAAATGATTTCTTCTGCTCTAATTCAATCTTACCTGTGAAGATTTGTAAATAAACTGTGTAGTTAAAGAGCCCGGCCCACCTCACTTACCCTTTAGTGCTTGTTCGGCAAACTCTTTTAAAAGGACAGACCATTCGACACCTGTCAATAGTCTTTAATAGTATTCCATTTCTAGGAATGATCTATAACAAACCATTCAACAAACCCGCAATGTAGCACGATCATAAAGACTTTCGAAGAAAAATATCCTTCTAAGACAATTTCATTAGCCACATGATAGCCTTGCTCATCAACTGTTCTTACAATGACGTATTACCTAATCCCAACACGATTTCTATGCGACATAGAATAGGATATTGGAATTGGTTTTGATTATAGATTATTTGACAGTCTTTGCCATCATCATGTTTAACGTACTAACCTCATAGCAAGACTGGACTTCCGAACGGTGGCGAACATCTGCGCGTAGGCGTAGAGAATGAATAGGAACGCGAAGAGGTTGAAGAGGACGAAGACAACCAGAGTAAACTCCCAGCCGTGGTCGAAGGGCCGATCGAACTGGAGAGGGAGACAGACGCCGTTGCCGCCGTAGAAGAACTCACCGAAGTAGGAGCGGTAAAGGACGGGGAGGATGGCGATGAGCATGGCGGCCAACCAGAAGCCGACCATGAGGATGACGGCGTGGGCGAGGTGACGCTGACGGAACTTGAACGGGTGCACGATTGAGATGAACCGGTCAGACGTGATCACTGATTGGGAAACAGCATTATATTCCTTCTTATATTTCAATCATAATTTATCAAATTATCTAAGATAAATTTGTATATAGTTTATGTTAAGAACACACATTATAGTCAATGTCAAGTTTAGTTTATAAATGTTCACCGTAACTATGACACCTGGGGGTGTTTCACAAAGACTAAGATCGACTTTAAGTTGGACTTAACTATGGCAGGCCATTAATGCCACTGTTTGGTCTCACCATTATGATCTTCAGATAACATTTTCCCCTTCAATAATGAATTATCACAAAATATAAATTCTGTAGATTTGTGACCATGATTTGTACGCTCCTTGAGAGACAAATGCCAGTAAATGGTGAGAGCAAAAAAGTGACATGAACGGCCTGCCATATTTAAGTCCAACTCAAAGTCGATCTTAGTCTTTGTGAAACACACCCCAGAGCGGTAAGATATTGCGAAAGATGGACTTGAATACAGAAATTATCGGTCTTCATAGGACCTGCTGGTTTTGTCGTCTGGAAACAACCGATTGGTGAAATGGAGTCTGCAGGTCGCACATACTTTCCAAGTCCACCTCTGTATCACAAAGTGCATAATAAATCTATAAGTTATAGGAATACATATAGTTATAGACTATAACTATATGTATTCCTTGAGTTTCATTATTTCCATTTGAATTGTTCTTCCCTTATCCACCAGGGGGGTGTTTCACAAAGATTCTAAGTAGAACTTAACTCTAAGTTGGACTTAAAAATTATGGACAGCCATTAGCATCTTTGAAAATATTTGGTAAAAATATTTTTGAAAGGCATAAAATGTTTTATTCAAATCATTCATATTTTCTATCATCAAGGAGATTTCATATTCTTGTTGTGGAATTTATAAAATGTCTAAAATACTTGAATTTCTGCTTTTGAGTATATTTCATTTTAAGGCTTCAATGGCTGTCCATAATTTTTAAGTCAAACTTAGTGTTAAGTTCTACTTAGGATCTTTGTGAAACACCCCCCAGGTGTTTTTTAATTTGTGTCTGATTTATTCATGATCATTTATGGATACCGAATATGGGTCTAGGAAGAACAGCGTTCGGGTCGAGAAAATACAGATCTTGATATAAAACACAAACAAACCTGTTAATGTCAAGACAGACATTTCACTGGATAGAAGACTCAGTAGTCCACACATCTTACAGACCCATCCGCTTCGCCAATCTAAATCCTTGAAGATGTACTCGCCTCTGCGGAATTTAAAATAATTATGTCGAGTATTATGATAACAGACAGAATCTACAGTAACAAAAAAAGGTTTCTTTTTGAAAGCCCACCGTATTTAAAGCAGGGGTCTTCTTTTTCTCGTGGAGTATATAGAGGTACCAATCGAATCCGTTAGGTAACCTTTCACAACAAGGTGATTTTAGGTTATAAACCCTTCTGCACTTTACCACACACGAAAGGCAGTAATAATATTAAAACAAAAATATTAATAAGCTACCGTTGACTATGAAGGTGATGGTTTTTTAATCAATCACCCCTTCGCATAATTTACATACATGAATATGTACACGGTTCGTAACAATCTATTGTGACCTTCATCACCCTTCGGCACCCTTCGGCCCCCTGCGGCATCCTTCGGTACTCTTCAACACTCTTCGGCACCTTTCGGCACCCTTTGGCATCCTTCGGCGCTATTCAGCACACATTGCGCATTGGCACTCCTTGGTCATTGGTACCTCTTGACACCCACAGTCTCAACTCTAGTGCTTCACTTTTAAGAATCTATTGGCTCTTTTTGCACCAACTGATTGCACCTCTAGGCATTCGTTTACACCTCTGAACCCATCCATTTGAACTTCTTGACACCTACTCATACCTCTTGATATCAATTTACACCGCTTGGCATCCAGTGGCACAAAAAAAAGCAAACTTTAATTTTCCCCGCCCTCAAGAAAAGCTATATAACTGTGTTATGGTGAGTCTTGAATGAAGAGACTAATTCAACATCTTTGATAATAATAATAATATAGGGATCCTTTACGGACATCGTACCTAAACATGACGTCATGCAGCCCGATGATGAGCAGATAGAGACCCATGAGGAAGTTGGCCACGGCCAGGTTCATGATGAAGAACGAATGGACCTTATTATCCTCGCTGACGAAGCAGCGGGCAAAGATCACCATCAGGTTGCCAAAGCAGCCGAGAAGGGCTACTAGCCAGACAGCACCCCGGAGCAACCAGTTGCCCAAAAGATCATCGACGTTCGAGATGCCGTCCCCTTTGGGCAGACAGACGCGGACGTTTGGCGCGTAGCCACACATGAAGAAGAAATCGAAATAGCTGTTGAAAAGCAAAAACATTGTGAGTAATTATGAAAATGAGATGGAATGAAGGAGAAAAGGGGGAGGGATAGGGAGGAAGGTAAGGAGAAGGAGGAAAGAGAGAGAGAGAGGGGGAGGAGGAAGGAGGAGGAGAGATGAGAGAGAGAGAGAGAGAGAGAGAGAGAGAGAGGGGGAGGGAGAGAGGGAGAGAGAGAGAGAGAAAGAGAAAAGATAAGGGGGTGATGGTCAGAGAGTAAAGGAAAGAGATTCAATAATTCATCAAATCATTCTTACATTCGTTAAGAAATATGCTGTGTCATGGTAATGACCATGGATTTCAATATCAGGTGTTTTGCCATTGCGGTGGCAGCAATGTTCTGAATAAATTACTAGGTTGGTTAGGCATCCGGGAGCTTTCCGGCTTTGCATGACAGGTACTGTTGATTGTTATGGTCAAGCGCTTCTGTACACATTGCTAGGTTGGTTGAGAATCAAGGATGCTCGGGCAAGGCATGGTGTATGCCACAACGGCCATTTTGTTTGAATGTATTTTGGCTGCAAGATTGGAGCAAGGTTTTACTGAGGAGCAGCTTACCAGAGGGTTGATAGCGTGTCATTCCAGCCATAGAAGAATCTCCCAAAATAGACCGTAGGCGTGGTAAGTGACATTTTAGTTGTTTTTAAGCATGTTTATATCCACTGATTGTCTTGTTTTTATACAACAAACCTGATCTTGGTTGAAAAAGTATTATCTAATTAAACTGAATATCAATAGGTCATTTTCGTAATGTAGCTAACTGTATTGCATAAATCTTTGTGAAGCGCCTCAATATAAATTATTTCATTCACCTGATAAGAATAATTGTATTCCAATAGACAGAATCCGAACTGCATACATTAGTGTTTGCCAGGTAGGGCAAACATTATGGATTGATCTACCTAGCAACACTTAATATATGCAGTCTGCATTCTGACTATTGAAATACTATTATTCTAATCAGGTGAATGAAATAATTTGTATTGAGGCACTTCACAAAGACTTATGTATCAAATTTGGTTACATTTACGAAAATGGCCTATAGTTGATAACCTGTTCTTAAGTATTATTTTTTAATATACGGAGAGGGTCAAGCAACCTAAGCAGTATAACCTGGACATATCTGTGACATCCCGTCATTTTGAAGGTTCGTGAAGTATTAATTTTGGTGTTGGATTACGCAGTAAAGGTCCAAAAGAACCATTTACTTTTTTATATAGCAAACGTACACAAACAATGACGAAGCATTATAATGAGAGAATGTTTTATCTTACATGTTATTTAAATTCTTGAGTCGGGTGAAAAGCTCTCGAGGTACTTCGGTTAACTTATTCTTCTGTAAATCTCTGTTAAAAATGAATAAATAAGAATTACATAAATACATAAAGCGTGTTGTTGTGAACAGATACGATAGCATGTGCCCTTATTCAAGTGGTGATGAGAAAGAAAATATATAGATAGAGAGAGAGAGAGAGAGACGGAGAAAAGAAACGTTTAGTAGAAGAATATATATCTTCACTTGACGGCCTCGTTTGTATCGCATTTCATTCATTGAATATTTTTTTCTGACCGCCCTTATGCCACATGACGGTTGGTGAAACGTGAATGTACAGGAATGAACTTTGATGGAAGATAAAAAAGATTCCGGTGTTAGAAATCATGAGCGGAATGCAGGAAAGAAATATTGGGAAACGAAACGATTTGAAAAACTGATTTAATATTGTTCTCATCTGTAGATGGGATTCAGTATTGATTTATGACTCTACGGTATGTTATTGATACTCACAGTGATTCCAGCTTTATCAGATTATCGAAAGCATTCTCCTCGATGACTTTAATTTCATTTTCGAGCAAACTCCTGTAAAATTGGGAAGAAAAGAAGCGATTCATCGTGATTTTCTTGTTACTGTATAGCATGGCAAAGAATCGATCCTACCACAAACTACAAATACTATGTTCAATTGATGACCACCCGGGATAGTAACATTCGAGAATTAGAAATGTTGACGTGTGAATTACATAAGTGCTACATAAGAAGACTCTTTTTCGTTTTCTTTTTTCTTTAAAAAAAAATCAACTTCTTCAAAGCATGCCAAGATTAAATTAAAAGAATATATATATATGTGTTGTTGTGAAAAGGTATCCTTTTTTCAAATAGAAATGATAGTTGATTATTCATTTCCCTTTTTTCATGTTTGTATGTAAATTCCCTGAGTACATTAAACAAAAATAGAGGAGTAGGTTGAAATACAACATGATCGTAACTACTTTCGAAAAATCAACGCAGAGATAATTTCTGTATCCTATATAAAATATGTTTCGATTACGTAATACATCATTGTAATGTAAGCACGTTTCAAAAAGTGACGTACCAGACCATTGGAATTGTAGAACAAACTGTTAATGTTATTACTGTATTTATTGCTCGCATGATACTGACAAATTTGATAATGTTTTCAAATCTGTTTTTAGAAAAGATCTCTCAAGAAATAAGAGGGTTTTCGTGTCACCATGACCCTGTGTTATATTTATAGTTATTCCTAACGATGTAATGTACATCTTTATACTCACATGTCTGTCAAGTTTCCTAACCCATCAAACATTCCGACCTCAATGCGACTCAGTCGGTTCTTCATTAGTGTACTGCATAAACAAATACAATTATCATATATTGCATGAGAATATTATATCCTTCATTTTGTAATAGATTGTATTAGACCTATGGGGCATTGCAAGAAATTTGCGATTGATTGCAAGTTGCAAAATTTGCAATCGATTGCAACTCAAATTTCTTGAAACGCCCCAGTAGTCTCCTAAATTTCCTAGGATTTTGTTAGGACTAAAGTTTTTAAAATTAAAATATAGATTTTATTCTACTCCCCCCCCCCCTCTCTCTCTTTCTCTCTCTCTTACTAATGGGGCGTTGCAAGAAAGTTGAGTAACGATTAATTGCAAATTTGCAATTAATCGCAAGACTTACGCTTGAATTTGGGATTTGCAATTGATTGCATCTTTCTTGCAACGCCCCTAAACTATCGACTGAAGCATCATGGAGTAATTATTGGTAAAGCTAAGACATAAACAAGCGTAGGGGTCGTGGAACCCCTTTTGATCAGCAGTGAAAAAGAATATTTAAAAAATGGGGGAACATGAAAGGGACTTGGTTGTCTGCTTAGCAGATTACACAATCTATCGATATCCATATTGCTCACTAGTTTCAGTAAACATAGTCAGAACACAAAATACATAACGAAATGCATAACCATGTTTATTTGAATATTACTATTAACTGAAACAAGGAGAAGATTGAAAATAGGAAACGATGAATACATTTGATTATTTTTAATGTAATTCATGATTTTAAGAATCAGACCAGTCAGACGTTTAAGTAAAAATAATCGTACGCCCTTGTTATCGAATACAAAAATAAAAACTTTCCTGACTAGCCCTTTTAACAATAATATGATTACTGACATATTTAAAAATCATCACTCTCTATCGCAATGTAGACGAATCACTGAACCACAATTAACAAGACACATTTCAAGACATTCTACTTACAAATGTTGGACGTTCTCGATGAGTGCAAAAGAGCCTGGTTCAATCGTATCGATCTCATTCTCATCTAACTTTCTGTAAGGATTGAAGAAAAAAAAGGATCATTGTAAAATGTTAGTTTCGTATGTATACACGTTTATCATCAGTGATATTGTTGTTTTTATTTCCGTAATCAGATAAAACGTTTCAGTTGTAATGACAGAGAACAGCTGTTCTTGGTATACAAAGGAATGCTAAATATCAAAAGAATAATATAATTGTTTATTATATTGGACATTCTGCACTCAGCGGTCGGAGATATGCCACAAGAAACGAAACTACGACATTATTTTAAATTCGTTCACTGTACTGGATATGTATTAAGACAAGCCGCTTAAATGGGTTAGAACATTTTCAGAAAAAGTTCAAATCACTTTTCAAGTTTTATTTACCAACATTTGAATGAAATAATAAACAAACAAGCACATTTTATACAGCCTTAAAAATGCATGCAGATTAAAGGAAGAAAACAGAAAATTGCACGCATTAACTATTTCTTTGCTAATAGTATCTCTACCACGCTTCAAACATTAATCTGTATCTTGGTGGAATAACGTAGGCTTCTCTTATTGTAACAGTGCAGTGTATATCAAAGGCAGGACAATCCTACTGAATATTAAGAAAGTAAACACATATCCACCAGAAACCCACACAAATGGTTATTTAATACTTACAGAATCTGCAGCTCGGGCATTACAGGAAATATCCCTACGGAAATATTCGTCAATTTGTTGTCGTGTAGCAATCTGTCACAAAAAATAACAAAAGGAGACGGTGATATATGATTAGCATCTTAAATTTCATTACAAATCAGAGCAAATGGAATACATATTATTTAGAACAAGGGGCCTTGGCGAGTTTTAACAACTCTCCTTCTCACCTTTGCGTCTGAAATATAACGCCTTGGCGAGTTAAACAAATCTTATTCTCACTGCACGTTTAAACTTCTACAGTGCAAGAACGATTCCTTCACACTAAAATAACAGCTGTAAAGAGCCTTCTGAGGGAGGATGGCTTTAGTGGGATATCGACCAGACAATAAAAATGATATCTCAATACAAATCGAGATTACAATCACAGTCGAATTGAATATATTTTTTTCACATATAAAAACGCTGATTTACTTTGTAGACTGGATTTGTCAATTCAGATGAACGCGGTATTAACGTATTTGATGTAGCTTTAATGTGGAATGATTACTTAAAGTTAATTAATGATATATAAACAACACAAAACAAAAGCTCGAGAAAGGTTTTTAAAAATTGTTCATGAATATTTCATATTTCCCACGCTGATCCATAGCAGGTGTATTGTCGGGGTAATATTTAAAAGATTCTTTCAAGAATGAGCCGATTGAAAGAAAGTAAACATGAAAATAGAGTGGCAGAAAGATAAGCTTTAATTATAGGAAATCCGAAATGTAGACCGACACGGAAATTGATGAAAATAAACAAAATCAACCACTTCTGCAGAAACTCACAGTTTCAGAAGATTATCCATGCCGTCAAATGCACCATGCTCGATATTAGAGATGTGGTTGCTTGGTAGATATCTGCAGATAGGAAAAAAAACACTCAAATCGGTTAAGCTCATTCCATTAATTAAAAATGCGAATTTGAAAGGAACGATTCTGGTTGATAAACAGATAAAACAATATGAGGTAATTTATGTCTTGCCAAAGGACATTCGTGCCGGGCCAGGATTCGAACACTCAACCCTTGGATTTAGAGTGAAGTGATAGAACCACTTTACCCTAGACACCTCAATAATACCTCATACTTGTCATAATACATTGTACATTATAAGGCATAATAATGGAGATGTTCAATTTTTTTTTTAATAATAAGCACCCGTGTTAGGACAAACCGGACAATTATCCTATGATAAGTAACCGGACAACTAAATACTAAAGGACGATTTGCCCGGTCTGCTACCCCCAAGTCAATCAATTATGAACCCCCTCGTTGGCTCTGGGAAGTCACCCCACCCCCTAAAAAAACAACACCCGACCACCCCTTTTAGAGTGTTTACTATCAACGCATGCATGTTTTCAACATACTCAAAGCACTGAGTTTCGACATGTGCATACCGTTTAAGACAAGCCAAATATCACATTCATTTTGAAGTTTACTGCAATATGTGAACTGTGATCATCCCCAAAATCCTGCAGATCACTTAAGACATGACTAAGCTGGATACTTACAAGTCTTGCAGTCTCTCTAATCCATTCATATGTGACGGTATGATTTCTGTGATTGCGTTGTAAGAAAGCTGACTGAAACAGAAAAAAATAAAATTGGTTTCAAATTACACATCATGAAGCAGTTGTGCATCTTTCCAAAAATAATGATAATGATGATGACAAGGTCGGAGGATTGATAATTTCAATTAAAAGTAACTTTTATACTCTCATCTAATCCACCACATCATAACAAATGAATAAAGGTGATTAAAAACAGGTTAGTTCAGTACTTCAGAATCTCCAATCTCCCCAAATTTGTTCCAATACAACCTGTAGAAGACACCGCATAATTATAACAAGAACATCCAAATCACAAGTTGCATATTCATGAAATGAATGATGATGATGATAATAATACAAATAATGATGATGATAATAGTAACAATGATAATAAATATAAAGTAATAATGATAATAACAATAATGATCATGATAGTAATAATAATAATAATAATAATAATAATATACACAATAATAAATAATTATTGTAACAACAATGATAAATAGTTATAATAACAACAATACAAATATCAATACAAATGATTATGATTAATACAAAGTAATTTGCGGGGATTTACATAATTATCGAGGAATTAACAAAAGTGATGGTTGATCGGATTTTACTTTTTTTGGTTTCTCTCTTTTTTTCATAAATAATTGAAATATGCCTTTTATTAAAGTAACAGCTACAGCTCCTTCCTACCTTTATGATAAAAGATAACAATAGAATTGAAATTAACTAAATATCGACTTGAAGCCGAACTTTGCTCTTCTATCGCTAAAATTTTACGAAGATAATGGTGTTAATTTAATATGATTACTTTGACAAGTATTCGAATTTCAGAGTAGCGTTTGCGCAATTAGAAGGAGAAAAAACAGCCATAGTGGATTGGCACGTAAATCATCATGATCAGGCACGTAGTACCGATTCAAAATAAAATATTTACAATTCTTTTTTTAAATAAGGGAGGGGGTACTTTAACGGGAGGGGAGGATATTGCTCATGCGTGTACGAAAATGGGGAGATGGGTGTGTGTATCGGGGGAGGATGGAGGGGGGGGGGGGGGGGAGGGAGGCTAGTAGGATTGATTAAGATACCTTGCGATAGGTGGGGTGGGGTGAATGTGTTCTGTGTTTGGCAGAATCCATTATTCATGAACGGTGTGTCATTTTGGGAGAGATCGTTTATTCAAGAATAATCTTGCTATTGATGGACTTACAGCACGGAGAGGCTACGGAGATTGCTGAACAAGTCCGGGGTAAGCTCCGTGATCCCACACGCCACCAACTCCCTGTAATATAGGAAATAAAAATGTATATTATTGTAAACTTATTTTGTAACAATTTTTGTTTCTTCATTGAATATTGAGAGAAAGGGGAGAGAGAGAAATCGAGAGAGAGAGAGAGAGAGAGAGAGAGAGAGAGAGAGAGAAAGAGAAAGAGAAAGAGAGAGAGAGAGAGAGAGAAAAGAGAGAAAGAGAGAAAAAGTACTGCAATAGAAATGAAGATTGTTATTGCAGTCATTTATATTATATACACTTCCGAGAATACCACGATTATCACTTTAACAATAACGCGAGAAACAACAACCAAAGAAACTCTCAGTTATTGCCCGATAGGAATTAGAACACGAAATTGCTTAAATAAATGGGAAACGTGTCTACTAAATATATATATATATAAACAAATAATAATAATAATAAGATGCTTACAGTTCTCTAAGGCTGACCAGATTCCGGAAGCAGTCTCCACCCTCACACCGGAAGTGATTCCGCGATAGTCGTCTGACAAGAAAGAAAGAGAGAGAGAGATATATAACAGTTTGATAAAGATCAAGTAACTGAAGCCACTGACAATTATATATTAAATGATTGTTATAATACGGTGCACTTAAAGCTCTAAGTGATCTCAATGGATACGGGTTGACGTTTCACTTATGTCATATTTTTTTTTTATGAGGGGGGGGGCACATTTTTAAAATGTTTTGTCAATGCTTTTGGCATTGTAATTGGGTTTTTACTGAATCTGATGTCTAGGTGAACTTGGACAGAGAGACAGACAGGAACAGTGGAAGGAAAGGGATGGATGGGGGAGGACTGGGGTAGTCCATCAGAATCACTACACCATATGTCTTAATTGTATTAAAAAAACAAACTTTAAAGCAATGGAGTCAAACACAGTTTCATTGGCAGATATCAAAACTTCCAGAGCCTAGAAGCAAGCAAAATGTTAAAGCTCACAATAATACGAATTATGAATAATTCACCACATGACTCCGTGGATGTAGCAAACAAAAAAGCAGATTGTATATCATTCTTTTATACCTTATTGATTAGCAATCGTCTCGTTATGTCAATACTTACAGAAGAGTAAGTCGCCAGAGGTTGTCGAAGTGCGCTGCTGTAATGGTCTCGATAAGATTATCCGATAGATCCCTATAGAGTCAAAACAAAACAAACACAAGATGAGGAGATAAAAGTGCCACTGAAAATGCTTTTCGAAAATTCATTATTCCGCCTTGTAGAAAGTTCAATATCAGTCTATTTACTAATGATAGGTGAAATATACAGGTCTTGGAGTTGGTATATTGTAAATAAAAGCTCTCAAGATCTTTCGCAAGAATAAAATATAATTTATACAGTAACGGCAATTGGACTTCTTGATCAGCGCGAATTAGGAAAAAAAAATATTTCATACAGCTTTCATACCTAACGAAGATATAAGAAATTTCGCGATATAATTCCATGACGTGTGATAGAGCATGGATTAAGTAACTCCATGGTTAGATTTTTTTTTTGAACAAAGAGCACGGCAATGTAGAAAGACATGAATAAGGCGTAAAAATGAAAAGAAAGATGTTGTATTGCCCTTTGCGACCGACCCAACAATCTTGAAACCTACGGTCGTTTTTTTTTTACCTTAAAGAAAGAAGAGAAGTTTAAAGAATAAAAAAATATGTATTAAAGCATCCAAAACGGAGAAATATCAGCCCAAAGAGGGAGGAAAAAAAACAAAAAAAAAACAAGAAAGATTTCCGACCGACCGACCCATGTTTTGGCACCTAAAGGGCAATACAACATCTTTAAAAAAAAGGCTAAATGGGGAAATATACTTACAGCATTTCCATGCTCGTCGTGTCGTAGAAGGCATCTTCGTCAATTGTTTGCATTTGATTGTGGGTGATCACCCTGTATAATGATAGGGAGAGAGAGAGAAAGAGAGAGGGGGAGAGAGAGAGAGAGAGAGAGAGAGAGAGAGATGGAGGGAGTGTAAGAGAATTAAACAGAAAGAAAGATTGGAAATAGAGTTTAATAGTAACAAAACATATAGAGGTTCAGAGTGTGGGAGGTTATGGCAGAACAAATCAATATGAAAAATTAAGAGTGAGAGAGAGTGAAGAGAGAGAGAGAGAGAGAGAGAGAGATGAGAGAGAGAGAATCATGTCAGAAATTGACGCAGTATTTTCTTTTATAGTGTGAAATAGAAGAAAAAAA